GCAGCCGCGAGCTGTTGAGCCCGTAGAGCCGCGGGGAAGGCCGCGAGGTCGCTGTGGGGACGGGCGGGATGGTGGGGGCCCAGCCACCTGGCTTCCTGGGCCGGTTCCTCCATGAGTTTGGGGTCTTCGCTGTTATTTTTTGTTTTTATTTATTTCGTGGCCTCAGTGTACTTGTCCCAAGTTGTCTGAGCCTTGATTTCCCCGCGTCTCAAAGGAGGGGCCTGGCTACAGCCCCTGTCACGTGTCCCCACCTGTAGCCCCAATACGGGGCCACCTCCCCAATGATGCAGCCCCAAGACTAAGTGGGTGCGGGCGGCCCGGTAACCACCCACCCGCCAGATAACCAACCACCCGGCCAGGTAACCACCCACTCTGCCAGGTAACCACCCACCCGGCCAGGTAACCACCCACGGCGTGGACACCGCCTGTGCTCACAGTGTCTGCCCTGAAGCCCCAGGATCCTGTGAGATCAAGGATCCCTGCTGCCTGTAGCGGCACATGTAGGGTGTCCCCCAAATGTATACACACACTGAATAATTAGAAAGGCAGTGTTGGTTAAAACACATTTCATTTTCAACATTGAGCCATCAGCGGTTAAAGTGTGTAGACATTTGTTGGGGACACCCTGTATTTTAGGCCAGAAGTTCAGGAAGTGGCCCAGGTGCCTAAGGAGATTTTAGGGAACCTAGAGGGAAAAGGAACCCATCTTCCAGAGTCTTGAGGGCAACCGAGGCTCGTTAGAAAATGGACAAAAGGTTTGGCGTGTGGAGAAGAATCTTGCTTTGGTCTTTGTGGAATTACTGTAGGCCCAAGGGTAGGATTGGGCTAAAATCGAAGGGTACTGAAATGTTTGTGTCAATACCAATGGTCTGATGGTCCAAAACGGAGATTGGGAACCCGCAGCTCATTTATTCATCCTACGACTAATTATCAAGAACCTCGGTTTTGGCAGGCACAGAGATGCTGGGAACACGGCGGGGAAACAAAGTCACGGCCCTCATGGAACTCCACCTTTTAAGGCAAATAAACCCAGCAGGAGGGAAGCCCGGGTCCCGCGTGCCAGAGGGAAGCTGGTGCCGGCAGCTGGGGGAAGGCAGGCTTACTCTTGCACGAATTTTGTGCATTGGGCCTCTGGTAGCTAAATAAACTGTCAGGTATGGTGTGGAAGGAGGCAAGGAGACCAGCTAGGAAGCTGTTTCAAATACCCATACAAGAGGTAGGCGCGCGCATGTGTGTGTGTGTGTGTGTGAGTGAGAAAAGTGTGTAGAACAATGGAGGTGGTGAGAAGTTGAATTATGGACCCATTTTGAAGGCAGAGCCTACACAATTTACCGAGGGAGAGAAAGGAATCAAAGATGGTTCCAGCCCAGCCAGCATGGCGCAGTGGTCGAGCATGGACCTCTGTATGAACCAGGAGGTCACGGTTCGGTTACAGGTCAGGGTGTATGTCCAGGTTTCAGACTCGATCCCCAGTAGGGGGTGTGCAGGAGGCAGCGGATCAATGATTCTCTCTCATCATTGATGTTTCTATCTCTCCCTTTCCTTTTCTCTCTGAAATCAATAAAAATTTATTTTTTAAAAACCCCACAAAGACGGCCCCCATGTTTTTTAGCCTGAGAGGACATTGCTGTCCAATAGAAATATACTGTGTCAGTATATACCAGAGGTAATTGAAAATTTTCAAGTCGCCCCGTCAGAGAAAGGAAAAAAGAAACAGGTGACATTTTAATAATGTATTTTACTTAACTTGGTCTATCAAAAACGTGATTTCAGCATGCGATCAATATAAAAAGCTATGAACTAGATATTTCAGATTCTTTTTTTCATGTGAAGTCTTGGAAGTGTGATGTGTATTTTTCACTTCCGATTGTCTCAATTCCGGGAGCTACATTTCAGGTGGCTGGTGTCTGCCAGGTGGACAGTGTGAGAGACGCTGCCAGGGAACGAGAGAGGAAGAAGACAGAGGGCGAGGGCCCGGAGGGTGAGATTTAGGAGTTTGTCAGCCACCAAGTGAAGACCTCTGGCCACTTCCTTGTTCTTAGGATAGAGCTTTTTAAAGTTCTCTGGCCCCCAATGTAAAGCTCAATCATTTCCCCCTTGCAAATACATTTAACTTGCTGTTGAAATCTTGGCTCCCTTCCGCGTTTGACATGAAAGGGTGTAGACTGGCAGTCTGGTTGGGGAGAAAGGACCGGGGAAGGAGGGCTTGAGGCTGTTTCTATGGGACTGATAACAAAACAACAGTGGCTTAAGTCAGAGATAAGGTTGTTTCTCTCTCACGGAAGCCTTCAGGTTAGCAGTTCAGAGCTGGTGTGGCAGCTCAGTCAAGTCACAGGAAGCCAGGCTCTCGCTGGCCCACAGCTTCCTCGCTCTTGCATCTGGACCTCCTCACAGTACGAAGACACCCACAGCCACAGCCACAGCGGCCATATCCAAGTTTGGGCAACAGGACCAGGAAGAGAGGAAGAAGGAAGGCCGGACGAGCCTCCTCCCTTTAAGAATTCCTGGACACACCACACAGCATTTCTGCGTGTAGCCTATCAACCAGAACTTAGTCACAAGGTACACACACAAATCCCCTCTCTCTAGGCAGCAACAAAACGAACCCAAACCCACGTTTTGTTATTAAGGGGAGAGAATAGATTTGAGCAGGTCACCGGTAGCCCCTGCCACAGTTTGCCTGGTACTTTAGTCTCCATTTGAGTCATTATCAAGGCAATAAAGACGCTGGGAGCAGGAGGGTGGATGGAAGGCTCTCAGGAGAGTGTCTCCAAGGAAAAAGTGGATCTGATGACTCAACATGCTTGACCGAGTGGAGAGAGGTTTCACAAACCCCTCGGTTTTCTGTCACTCGGTTTGGCAGCGGATCCATGATTGGCACACAGACAACGAAGCCAGCCAACTTGCCCCCGCCCCTCACCCCCAGGAAAGTCTAGGTGGAGACGCCAGCCTCAGATCTGCCTGTGAGCCGAAGGAGCTAGCTCAGAGGAAACCCAGAACCTGCCTGCTCACCCCCAGTTGCAGAAGGCCTGGGGGAGTCATGTTCGCTGCTGGCCACTCCCCAAAGGAAGAAGGACAGAGCGAGCCAAGCCCATCCGGTTCTTCTTCCCCAATTTAGCCTTCAGGTAAGTCACTCTGCCTCCGGGGAAGGGAGGGCTGCAGAGGAGAGGCGCAGGGAGTCTGTTTAGGGAAGAAGCCCTTTTAAGAAAACGGAATTAGGGGAAGCGTTCTCCTCCAGGCATCAAGCAAGTCACGTAACCCCTTGTGCTCTAGTTCCTAAGCTTCTTGGACTTTCTCTTCTAAGGATATATAAAACTAACATGTATGAAATGGTTTGAAAATTGATATGCCCTATAAATAGTAACAGCTAATATTCAGCGAACATGTAGGAGGGGCCAGGCACTGTGCTAAGCCCAGCACATGCACTAGCTCAGTTCCCAACACAGCAGTATGATTACCCCCAATTTCATGATGAGACTGAGCTCAGCTTTTTATGCCACATATACTAGTAAGTGAGAGCAGACTTTATACTGTGTTTGTCTTGGACTTATTTCACTCAGCATAATGCCCTCGAGGTCCATTCCTGTTGCAAATGGCAGGACTTCCTTCTATCTCATGGCGGATCATGTTGCATTGTACTGTATACATTTTGCTTATCCTTGAGTCTGTGGGCACAGGTTGCTTCTACGTTTTAGCTGCTGAGGATAATGCTGCTGCGAATGTGGGTGTACAGATATCTCTTCTAGACCCCGCCTTCAATTCTTCTGGGTAAATACTAAGAGGCAGACGTGCTGGGCCTTGTGGTAATTCTATTTTTAACTTTGGGGGAGGGGGACCATCATACTGTTTTCCATAGCAGCTGTACCATTTTACATGCTCATCAGCAGTCTACAAGGGTTCAGGTTACTCCACATCCTTGCCAACACTTGCTGTGTTCTGCTTTTTTTTAGTAGCCATCCCAGTAGGTGTGAGGTGGCACCTCATTGTGTTTTGATCTGCCTATCCCGAATGATTAGTGATATTGAACGTCTTTCATGGGCTTACTAACTGTTCCTATATTTTCTTTGGAGAGTTGTCTATTCAAGTCTTTTTCCAATTTTTGAATGGAGTTGTTCGGATTTTTGTTACTCAGTTCTGTTTTTCTGGCTATCAATCTCTTGTCATATGTATGAATATGCAAATATTTCCTCCCATTCTGTGGGTTGCCTTTTCACTCTGTTGATTGTGCCCTTCGATGCACAGCTTTAGATTTTCATGAAGTCCAGTTTGTCTATTTTTTATTTTTTGTGCTTTTTGTGCCATATCCAAGAAAGCATTGCCAAGTTCATTATCGTGAACATGGCAGTAAGTTTTGGAGTTAGGAATCATGAGGTCCCTCATTTTGTTCTCCTTTTTCAAGATTGTTGAGGCTATTTGGGGGTCCCTTTGTAAGAAATAAGGCGAGCCCCCAAATTCAGGGGTCCTGGTAGAACACAGAGCAAACGGGAGCCAGGCAGCAGTGCAAACA